GCATTTTTGTATGAAAAGCAACCCATATAATTACCAAATCTATGATTTACCATTGCAAGATTAGTTCCTCTTGCTCTGAATCTTTATAGTTTAAAATTCAACCATATGTTTTATTTTTCATCAAATTCCATCATGTATTGTAATAAGAGATAAAACACATACTTTAAGTAGTGAAGTATCACTTTTAGTATCTTAAAAATATATATAGAGAACCTCTAAGCAGACACCTCCTTTTAACATGTGGACACCCTCTTTTAGTGTGTAGTCACCTCTATGCCATGAACCCCTACATATATACATTAAAACTCTTATTTCCACTAAAAACATTTATAATATATTTACAATGAAAGATTTGTATGCAATGGATTATAGCACTTATTCTTACTAATTATTTATTATTTCTATATTTTATTTTATTTTTGACTAAATTCAACAAAATTATGCTTCAAATAATGCAATAAAACTTATCTAAAGTTAAGACAATATTCAACAACTTAATTGTTACTCTATAAATGTTAGTTGTCAAAATAGTATGGTAAAAAAGTAAGAAATAAAATGTGGTAGTTAATGTATAAAAGTATCAATATTATCAATTAGACTAAAAATTTATTTTTTATTACCAAATATAATATATTAAAAATAAATTATATAAAAATATTATTTAAATAATTAAATTCTAAAATTTCTTTTTAGATTTATTTATATATATAGAATGTTTCCACTGCCACTATAATCTACCATTTATTAAAGAATTATTGATGATAACAATATTATTACAATATGACTAAAATGTAATTTGTTATATATATATATATATATATATATATATATATATATATGTTTTAAGATATTTCAAAAACTTTAAATATATACTCTAATTTAAAATAAAGAAATTAAAATTTTATTTCTTTAAAGTAAAATGTAGATTTTATATCACATAATTATAATATAATAGTCTATATTATTATTAGTATAATATCTAAAAAATCCTAAATATTTAGATTATTAAACCTAGTATTATAAATTAAGATGCTAATAAAAAATTAACAAATACATTATTTTTTTATTATAGTGTTTTTTCCAACCATTTTTACTTGCATCAATTGTTTATACTTTTAAATAGTCTATACTAAGAATCACCAATATTACATAGTATGACCATAAAAATAGAATATTGCTAATGCTATTACAATTCTTCTATCCACCACATGCTGCCTACATTCTTTATTAATGCTAAATAAAAAAAATATGTATTTTATAAAAAAAATATGTATTGTATATATATATATATATATATATATAGGTTATTTTTTTTAAATGATTTTTTATCAAAAATTAATTTAAAAGGTTATTTTTATTAAAATTTTAATTGTTTCTATTTCTATTGAATTTATATATATATATTTTAACGTATATATATATATATATATATATATATATATATATATATATATTAATAGCTTAGAAAGATTTTTAGAACTTATTATTGGAATAATAAAACTAAAGAAGTATAACAAGTTGTGGTAGCAATAGCAAAACCTGTGGTACATTAGAAATATCTTAAAAATATATTTGATAACAATCTTATAGATATTAATTATTGCAATATAAAATTGCAACACATATTTGGAAATATACTAAGAAACTACATAAGATAATTTTTTAAATAATAAAAAAAATTGGTATATAATATTAAAACTATTTAAAAATTATCTACAATATGTAAATAATTAGAAATAGTTTATAGTCTATGTGCATCTTTATCTATAAAATATTCAATAAAACATTAGAGGTCTTTATAATTTAATATAAAATTTTCAAAAATTATGTTTATGATTATTTGTTTTATAGGTTTAAAAAATATAAAATGTGTTTTATTTGTAATAATTAAAGTATGTAATATTCATAATAACAAAATTTAGGACCAAAGTTTTTTATCAAGAAATTTTGGATTGAACTACTTTAGTTTCTTCATGACAAAAAAATAGATTTGTTTTATAAAACTTTAGAAAAAACTATATTATTTAATAAATAAATAATCTAAAAAAACTTAATTAAGATTTTTGTAACATATGATAGATTTAAATCCTTCTAAATACTTAAAGAAATATGATCTCAACTATAGTTATATAAGATAACTTAGTTAATATAGTTTAAAAATTAAGATAGGATTTGTATACTAATGAGGCCTTAATTCTGAATCTACAAGTTATATCAGTATTTATCTTCATGCCATCATCTCTTAATATATGCTATCTACTAATATAAAATGTGCATGTACATTGTCTACATAGTTCTTAAAATTCTATAAATCATTTTACATATATAAACTCTTGTTTATATAAATCTAATCTAAAATCCTTATTAAATAATTTTTTCTAATAAGACTTTTGAACATATTATAAATACAAAAAAATATTTATTGTATAAATGTAATATATTTTTTGAAGTTGGATTTTTTTATAAAATAGAACTTAATCCAAATTAATAATGGTCACAAATCAAAGTCCATTAATTAAACAATAAACGAAGCATTAGAAGACTAACTATTAAATAAAGTAGTACAACCATCAAAAACAATAAATAAAAAAAACATATATATATATATATATATATATATATATAAGACACGTTTCATTTTTATTAAAAAAATATTTTTTTATTTTTATTATAGCTATTTATTTATTATTGATTGCATTCATAAACTATTAAGTTAATACTAGTGAATCAATTAAAACTTGCAAAGAAAACATTCATTGCATATTGAAACCTAGAATAGTTGATTTATTTCTCTTAAGTAAAATTTATATTAATATCCATAATTATTCGTATTAACTCTAGTAGAATTTTACCATAAAGACAGCTACCAAAAAAAGCAAAATAAGATGTATTTTAAGTAAATTTATTTATTATATCTATTATATTCTAATATTTATAAATTAAAAATATAAATATAAATCTTATTAAATATAGAATATCATATCTCAATATATATATATATATATATATACATATACATATTTAAAGAAATTTTAATATAAAACTTATATTATTAATTTTAACAAGTTTAATTAGTGATTGTTCATAAATAACAACTAGTTATAAGAATGGCCTTATTTTATAGATTTTTAAAATTTAAACATATTTTCCAAAATAATATTATTATTTTTACATAGGCATATCTAATGAGACTTTTTCCAACAAAATAGAACAATGAGTATTGTATGTATTGATATAACTACATCAAAACAACTATAATGTTTGTTTATGGTTTAAGGTAAATGTGCCAATGTATCTAAGAATCTAACTAATATCTTACAATTTCATGCACATCACAACTACATTCATGTCTAATCAAAATGTGTTCTTGCAAGCAAGTTTAATTATTAGTATTCATGAAGGCTTTGTGTCAACGTTGTTTAAGAATTCTCTTGGAAATAATCTTCTTTTAAACATATTCTAATCTAAATCAACTTTCACTTATTCATTGCAAGGATCAAACTATTCATGAATAATATAACATTTATACATTTTCATATTTGTGAACAACACAATACAATGCTGGTTTTACATTGTATGGTTGCAATGTTGCTTATGTGGCAAGAATTTTCTCCAATTTTTATTTATTTTATTCTTCCATCTTTCATGAATTCAAAGTTATTGCTGGTTTGACCCATTGTATGCTAATTTTATTGATTGTAGATGTTTTTGTTTAAAAAAGGTAATTATAATTGCTGCACCAAATTCTTTTAATTTTGTAAGTATTTTAACTTTTTGAAGTTATATTTTGAAAATCCAGCACAAACTCGCCATTGGGCATGCATAAAATTTTAAGTATAAAACTTGACCACAAGAAAAATGATATTAGAGTAAATCCATTGTTGGATCATGTCTATAACTTATTTGTGCCATGTGTGTAGTATGATTATTCTCTACAAGAGTTATTTTGAGTTGGTCAATTTTAGAACAGTGGAGTTTGACAGCACAGCAACACACACACATGTGAGGGATAGCCCATTCCATTACTGACAATAAGCCCTACCATTAGACTGAAGAATAAACTCTACTGCAGAGTAATGAGGATCATGTGCAGGCAGAGGATGAGCTTTCAGATTCCACACTACATTTAAGTCTTAACTTCAGTTGAATTAGCCTTGGCTGTCCAAGCTCTGCCTCAGTGTGTCAACAATTGTTCACTTATTAGTTTCTGGCACAAATGCTGCAATTGAATCTACAGAACTTATGAACCCATCCCAGGTGACAGGACCAATTCTGGCAATGCTCCATAACAAGGACAGTACTTCTATAAGGACAAGCAGGTAAGGTTTTGTCTATCCTTACAAAGCATTTGCTCCCTTCCATTTGTTAAGGAATTGTTTCAGGAAGTCTGTTTGCATTGAAGGCTTGTGACTTACAAGTGCCACACATGTGGAACTTGAAACTTTCTCAAATTCTGCATGTTACATCCACATTCACATGCATTAGTGGCATCTGAGTATTATGTAAGCAAGAAACTTCAATCTGCACATACACCTAGAACAGGAAAAAAGTCACTTTATTGAGTTTACACACAATGGTCCAAGTAAAATGCCACCATTCTCTCTATGTGGGTTTATACCCCATGGCCTAGCAAGCACACATTTATTTAAAATCTCTAAGATGAAGACTAATTTGCAGCAAATGTGGGTACCAAAACCTCAAAAGACAGCAGCAGAAACATGAATGTAGAGGAGCTGATGTCTACATCTTGTGGATACTGTGGATCTCACCTCATCAATTTCTGAATCTAGATAAATTCAAGAGCTACCAACGACCTACATGTGCGCTAGGGTACAAATCCAAAAACTTTCAAACGGAGACTTAAAAAGGTCAGTGAAGCTTGATATCTTCCTCTCCGAGATTTAGTCTCGCGACAATCCGAAACAATTTACATCGTCGTTGTACTATGTTGGCTACAATTTACGACGTTGAGGCTCCCATCAGTGCTCTTATTGTTGGTGTTATAGTTCAAAACAAATCCTAGGCATTCCAATGTAAGTATTTTGACATTAGAGGTTGCACTCCCCAGGTTTCTGTGTACTTGTGGAGCAAACCAAAATCCCATCATATACATTTGACGTCGTTCGCCTAAACCTAGAGCCAAAATCCCATCAATTACATCTGCGCTTCGTTTCAATTGCAAAACACGATTGGTTTGTCCATGGGCCTTTTCTCGCTGCTTGAAGTGGGGGCAAAACCTTGAGCTGATGATAAGATTGAGTTCACAACCTGCATGATGCACAAGCGAGTACCTACCACTTAGATACATCTGCGATAAATTTACATAATTAGGAAGCCGCATACGATTATGAAAACAGGAACTATTGTCAGTGCAGTAAGTTGAACACTTCGTTACATAAATGTTGAACATCATGGAGGGCTTAAGGCGTTGCCTAGGACAACCTTAATACATGATCTGCATTGGTTGAAAGCACTGCAACAGATGCAGTTGAAGCACTACACGGAAAGTGAGATGCTTGCATGAGATCGTGTGAAAAGTAAGCGTTTCCAAAGTCAGAACCCTCCAGTAAATTTACAAACTGAAGCAGATGTTGCTCAATGGCCGGATGCCCAATATTGCGCCTAAACAAACCATAAACACCGTGTTATCAAGATATGTGGCAGTATACAACATGGAATTTCAAAGACATTTTCTGACCTTTTCGTAGACACATGTCTTTGAACAAAATATTTCCATTTATGAAAGAACATATCCTAATAAGAAAGTATTCACCAAAGTCCCCAACTAGAATTCGTGGCTGCAACTTGCGGACCTCGCAGCAAGGCCACGAGAGATGCTTCTTGTTTCTCTATCATACAAACTTTCACAGCTCCTTCTACTACACCTGCAAGTCGACAAAATTCGTCTGGAGTCCTGCTCACGCAGGCAAGCTTCCATAAATCATAAATTTGGGCAAAAGCAATCTCATCTCAAGACACAGTTTGCAATACTACGTCTATATCACGAAAATGGAAGTAATAAAATGTTGTACGGAACAACCAAACTGGGTCTAGATACAATACTCACAAGGCAAACACCAGAAATATATTTCACTCACTGCGCATCAAGGCTGACTTCAAACCCTAACTATCAACATAATCCGAATTTCATTTTGAGGACTGAAAATCTTCTATAAAAGAATCACACAATTCTCAAGAAACACAAGTATCTCAGCCATGTCGTGGATCAAAATGGTACGATTAACAAATGCATGTGCATTATCCAGCTCATCAAAAGACTCGATCACGCATGATACCTCCCCGTCAGCAGTGTAGTTGCTCTCAGCATCGGAGTCCTCATCAAATGATCTCTTATTCACTGTGCTGGGTGACCGCGACGCTCCACCACAGATGCTGTCTGAATCTGAAGAGTTTGTTGCTGAGGAACTCGGAAAAATTTCCTCGGGTAGATAAACTTCAAGTGAAAGAGGGTGTTGGTTGATTCGGAGGATAATTGAGGATGGTTTAGGATAAAAATGCCATGCAATGGGAGCCTTCTTTGATGATACTTCCACATTTGCACAACTAGGTGTTCCATTCCAATATTGATCCATTAAGTTGTCCTGCAAAATAAGAACAGGTCAAAGTGTGGCCAATGAATCCAATTGCGATGAGCCAAAACTAATCTGTGCGAAAACACAAATCAACGTTAAAACAGGGCTATCGTGAACTGAAAAAACAGTGCCAGGGCGGTTCAGAAGTCATAGATGCACCTCCCGCAAGCACGCCCGAAACTGTCAAGAGATACAAATTGAAGGCCCTCTTTATGATCTTCAGCTCCGTCAAAGATAATACACCACATTGCCACCAAGATGGACCCAGCCAAATGTTGGCGCACTCTCCACGAACTCTTTGAAAGCAAAAACACAACCCGAACAATCAATCTGTTCGACCAGCTACAGGCACTACGGCTCAAAGACACGCAACCAATGACGGAGTAAATAAGATGTACCAGGGAGTTAAAGTACCAACGAGTGTACGGGGGAAATTCTATCAGAGGACCGCATCGCACATACGATGCTCAACGGCCTGCCACCGACATACAAACCATGTGTCCAAGGGATCATGGAGCAGGAGAGTCTTTTGTCATTCAAAAAACTTTTGAGCCGATTACTCATAGAGGAGCAGAGTCGAGCGACCCGACCAAAGGAGCTTGGCGATGCCTTAATGTTCTTAGGACGCCCTTCGCACCTGCACAGAAGAAACAGTACAGGATCAACATTCTCGCAAATCCATCTTTCTAATACAGCTCCGAATGACGCCCCCAAATCACCCAGGCGAAATTGTAGATGCAACAATTGTGGTCAACAGAGGTATCAGGCGCGTGAATGCCTTCGTCCTCAACGGAAGCGACATCCCCCGATGCGCAAGCTGCCTACATAATCACTACAATAGAAGTAATTAGCAGTTACAAGTTACCAATACAGTGCCGCCACACAAATAGCTCCAAAAATGTAGAGATCCTCGGAGAGAATCCACAAGTGGCAACTCTGTATAAATGATCCATTCTTGATCGTTCTAATTAATGTAAGTTTCCATAACTACATTCCACATTCGGACAATCAAACGAATGTGTCCATTTTCCTACGGACCTTACTTCTAATCAAAAAAATTCTAACTCGCTATCCTTAGAAGCCTGCCATCGACATGGAGAAAAGTAGCCACCAAAAGGATTTATTTCATGAATCTGCATAATAGCTCTTGACTTTCCATTCTCTGTAATCACAGGCTCCTGCTGACCTGTGCAATTCTAAACCACTGAAGCCGTCAACGACAAACCGAGTTAGCAACAAAAAAAGAAAACACACTTGACCTGAAAAGACTCACAAAAGCAATTTCAATATATAAAAAACGGAGAAATCTATTTTCAATCGAATGAAGAGATTACAGTTCATTGTTGCGACACTTGCAATTTGTGCTCACGAGTATGCAAGAAGCGCAGAAATGGAAACGCAATTGACAAGCTAAAACGTGATCACTAAGAAACAAAATCTTACAAATGCGTCTAAAATCCAATAGTCATTATACAATTTGAATAATTCCTCCACAAACTGCTGCACTATGACATAACCATTTCGAAAATACCCCGGATCAAGGACCTTCTTCTCTTTTGATCGAAGCCACAAAACAGTCTAAAATGTGTTATACCTTAAAAACTTACTCGGTCTAAAGTTCACGGAACTCCAAGCCTCACCGCGTGCAAGAAGAAAGCGTGAATTCTTTGACAACACGCACCATGCTTCCCATGGAAACACAAATACTAACTCCCTTCTCATATTCTCTGGAAATAAGATAAATAATGATGGTTACAATAACAAATTAAATTGTGTATTCAAAAATTATGTAATTTAATAGATTATGAAAACTTAGCATAGTTTAACAGTAATCGAGAAATTTGGTAACCGAAGAATTGTTATTTTGAGTGGCATTAGGCGTACAAATGCTTCAGTATTTAAATTTCCTACTTGCGTAAGACTTTTTAAAATGAATTTGTTGATATAATTTATTATTATTATTATTTTTGTAAAGAGAAAATATATCAACTTAGTCATTAAGTTTAGAATAGATTTTTCTAGTGAGATTTGGAATTCTATTTTATTAAATTTCTATTGGGTGTGGTTCTTAATATTTTGAGAGAGAAAGTGAGTCTGTATATAGACATTCACTATAAAATATTTTCACCACAAAAACCAAAAACTATCATATATAGATTTTTTGAAGTGCCTCCAAGCTCAAAACAAATGAAGTTGGTCCTCTTCTATCATCTATAAATCAACTTCCAAATCTTGGTGAAGAAGTCTAGAATACCTTCAACTAAAAGCGAGCTATTTTTGTTAAACAAATCCATCTTTAATTCAAATGCATCTATGAGATATGGTCTTTGTTAATAAGTCTTTGTCTATATACTATATCAATCAAAAAAAAAAAAAAAAAAAACACATTTTTATTTGAATAGAAAGTATAGAGTGACATCTATATAAGAAAATTGATTTGAAAAGAGCTAATAGAATATGGAAAAATTAGTTAGAAAGCAATATAAACAAAATAAAAAAAACAAACAAAACATCTTAGACAAGATACTATTTCCAATAATAAATAAAACTAATTTTGGATAGCTAGCTAAATAACAAGTTCTAAAGTGCACAAGTTAATCAAATAGAACTTTAGAATACCATATAATGATTTTATAATACTCAAAAGTATAAGCAAATAAGTAAATAAATAGTTATTCCACATTGTTCTTTTGCTTTTGTCCAAATGTATATTAGGAGTTGAATTATATATTATACCTTATGAATACATTAGATATATCTTATTTTTGTATTATAAATAAAATGAAATAAAATAAATAAGAATATATCAAATTGTATGAATTTAAATACCAAAAAAATAAGAATTTTTTTTGAAGTTAAAGAATTCTAAATTGTCAAAATAGTTTCACTAAAACTCATATTAAAATTCATGAAATTATCTCTAATTGAAAAAATAACAATTTGAATTAAATTTAATCATTGATGTTAAAAATTTGAAGCTACTATTAACCTTACAAATGTGAAATTCTATTATGTTTTATTTGCAATATTCTCGATTAAGAAAAAAATTAAAATTAAACTCAAGTTTAAAACAAAAATAAAGAACTTCAATACAAGAAATATTTAATATTAAAAATAAAATAAAACTTTAAAATTTAAAGAAAATTAAACTTATAGTAATAAATTAAAAATATTTAGTTTGAATTAATAAAATTGAATGTGTATATTATGACAACAATAGAATATTAGTATTAGACTTGGTATTTTAATTAAAATAAACTCTAATTTTGAAACACATTGATATATATATATATATATATATATGTACACCTATTTTCTTAATCATATGTGTATATTCAAAGATATATTTTTATTCATTTATTCAACACATTTGTATTTTACATGATTTTCAAGCATTTCCAAGCTTTCTGATGAAATGTTTTAAAATTAAATGTCTTAGTTTCAGATGTTTTCTATTGGTTTTGGACATTGTTAAATTTTTAGAAGAGGTATAGTTGTACTAGACTAAAATAGATTGTAAATTCGATTTAAAAAAAAAAAAAAAAAAAAAAAAGTGTTAATAGAAAGTAGATGAATTAGTATCATTTCTCACTCAAGTGCAATACAAAATACAAAATGCTTGGATCCACTTCAGCGATTGAATTCACTATGAGCCAGTCAATCAAATATAAACAAAAAGTGAAAATCGCAAATTGCTGTAAATCATAGTGTGCTTCATCCTGTTCACAATGATCTGTTTCATTGCAAACCATGATCAGAAGAAAAAAAAGCATATTTCACCCAGATATAGAGGTCCGTAAAGTTTGAGGATTTACAACACATGCAGTGGGATACAATTGCACAACACAGATCTTGATGGTGACAGTTTTGAGACTTTGGTTCAATAAATTTACATTTAATTACTTCCCTGCATAACTTATATAGAACTTCATGAATCATTTGAAGGATGATGCTATATTACACGGTCGAGATGATGACAATAAACTACCAATTTTTAGGGATGAACAACCCCTAGCCACAAGTTTCAAAGCTAACCAATTAACACAACCAATTGGATACCAAGCCTAGACAACAAGGTCATGCAGTGTACCTATAATATTCAGCACCATACATCACATTCCAAACCCTAATGGTTGAAAGTTAAACCACAAGTGTATTAGCAGCAGCTTATTATTTGAAGCATCACGAAATATAAGCTTTAGCAAGTTCAGAAAAATTACAAACAACTGAAGTCCTTGGGCATGTGATCTTGCCTTGGTTCTCCATTGCCATCTGTACCATTGCCTGCAAACACAGTCCAATCCACTTAGCTGGAGGCCAGAAAGTAGAGAGCCCACAAGTGGCTACAACAACCTAAACAACTGCTATTATAACATGTCCAACGTCAAGGATCGAATTTCTAATATGAAACACACCCAAACTATTGCCAATGCATAAATGTTCAGCTCGAGAGCCTCGTTTACTGAATCAAGACATCGACTTGACAGAAGGGAATACTTTGAAGCTCCGAAAAAGCCGAACACAGAAAAAGCAAACCTTGGTACTGTACACATAGCCGTTAGGCAATACTAAAGGCGGGTTGTTTTCGTTCATAGGCTCCTTAGTAATGTAGCACACCAGCTTGCTGTGAATATGCTTCGCAAATGGCAGAGGATCCGCAAGTTTACGAATGGTTTCTTGCGACAAAGGATCCTCTTTGGTGCATCCTTCCTCGTAACAGAATCTGGAGGCAAACACAAGCTTTGGGCATTTAACTTCAGGTATTAACTTGAGAATGCATTCATTGGTGCAAATCTATTACATTCAACAAATTGCCATGCAGAGAATCGATTAAACAAAATCCTAAGATCAAACCCGAGATCTGAGGATGTTTTTAACAAAAGCTTTAAAGACTAATAATTAGGGTATGGTCCGTGTTAAATACGGCGTTTTGAGCGCCGAAAGTCCAGCCTGGAGATGGATATTGAGCAGGGGCTCATGAGTCATGCCATATAACTTACAAAACTCCTGCTTGAACTGTTGAGTCAAATTATACCATTGCTGCGTATCAAAAAGAATCTGCAAAGGACATAAAACCCTGATTTAAACTTTGTACAGCTTGATCACAGACAATTGACAGAGTCGGAGGTAATGTTGGACGCATTCAGTCTACTTCGAAGGGCTAAGGCAAGCTTCATATTCGTTGACTAGCAATCTAGTCAAACAAATTAAGGCAGTTGTGAGATACTTTTTAAGAATATTTAGTTAAAATCAAAACTTGAAAGGTACAATAAAAAGACTCCCTCTGCTTGGATCATTATAATAAGCTTTAGAACACTGTAAGGTGAAGCGAAAGGAGCACCTTATAGGCAGCACAGTCCGTATTACTCTTGAAAGCTAGAGTAGCCATGACTTGCTGAAGCTCTTTCATGTTGGTAGAGCCCCATACGGCAAGATGCTTGCGAGAATACATAATAGCATCCATCATCCTCTCAGCCCGCACCAATTCCATGAACTCTTGTAACCTCAGCTTAAACTCAAGCTTACTCTGCGCATACCACAACTCGTAAATAGTTACAAACATGATAAATTCGCTCAATGAACTCCTTGAGAAGGTCCAGAGTTTCGTCCAAAAGGAACTATATATATATATAACAAAAGCTCTCGACTTCCTTGGTGAGAAAAAACTTAGGTCATAAACAAGAAACGAAGTCAGTTGAATGTAAACCTTAGATTTCTTGAGCTTAGACTTGTTTTCAGAGCACCATGCAAGTGCTTCAGTGCAATCCCGATTCCGCAGAGCCTCAATAACCTTTCGAGCCTCCAAGAAGATGTCAGCATCCACAAGTTCCTGAAATTGTCCACAATATCCACAATGAACCAGTTACCAACCACTAATGCATCAAGTCAACCTATGAACAACCTGGGGACAAATTGAAGAGACTCTATTGAAACTACATCCATTTCTAAAAACAATAACTAAAGTAGGCAATATATCAAAAACTTAACAAAGAAACGATTGAAATACCATCATTTCAAAGATGAACTTTGAGTGAACAAGGGCAAAGAGAAAGGACAAACCTGAATATTGTTCAGGTTTGCTAATTGAAGGGCTGTATCATAATAAGAATTTCGTAACATGTAGTCAACCAAGATACGCTGCACTCGCGTATTATTCCACTCGAGCTCATTCTCCTTACCATTTTGGCCCTGAAGCACGCTTAAGTGGTCCAACCTAGCACGACACCTTTGCACTTCAACTAACTCACCTTTGTTGCTCTCATCCAACTGCAACTCACGTCAACACTAGATGAAATACATAAATACAGGTCTACACAGCACATAAAAAAGGTGCACCGTTCCACAACTCGATGAGGGCATTACAAACATTTGTCCAAACAAGACAACTGTCAACTAGTCCTACTGTGCAGACCGAATCGTTGAGAATTACTGCAAACGAGTGGAGGTAACCAACTTTCAGAACCACACAATCCACACACCTGATATGACCATGGCATTACAGGTCCAATCCAGAAACTTGACAGCCGTAACCACCAACCATCAACAGAACCATCAAACTCCTGTCAAGAGTGAACAATCTGACATTCCCAGAACGCAAAAACCAGCGCATGTCCAACACACACACACACCTCAAAGTCATCTACGCAGTCATACCTTACGTTTGAGGCCTTGCAAACGAGAGGCTAGAGCACTGAGGCGATGTAACGTTTCCTCTTTAGACATATCTTTGTCAATGGCATCAGCCACACCAGCATACACAGCATTCACCTCCTTCTCCACCAAACGGGAATTCACCCGCATGGCTTTCTTCAAATGCTCAAATGGAACCTGTAGAGTCCTCAGAAAAGACTCCAATATAAGATACCTACGCATCCCATGCGCTCGAAAACTCAAGCATAGATAAGAGACCAATGTGGTAATACAGATTACACGAACTTCACACCAGTGTGAATACAAGGCGTTCTGATTAAGGATGTAACTGCAACCAATGCCTTTCTACCTCGTTTCAGGACACTATTGTCATAAATCCTCTTGACCAGCCCTAAAATTGGAGCCGAACAGACAAGAATGCAGGTTGTACAGTCCAGTAAATTGAAGGAAGAGGGACAGGAATAGTGCAGATTGATAAAACAATTGAAGTGAAACTAACCTTGACGAGCTGATGCTCCAGCCTAAGAGACTCAGCAAGACGATCATTAACACGTGAAGCCTGAGAAAGGGGGGCGGCTGCTGGAGCTGGTGGTTCTGCTCCATTTGCTGTTGCTTCACTATCTGTTTCCATCATGCTCGCCATCTAGAGGCAGGTCTTGTTCGATGTTGACTAACAGATATACACCACCCGAATTAGCACACCGTTAACGAGACTCTCGTTGCTTCATAGCTCGATCATTCTCATGTCTGATCAAGCACCTAAGGACATAACGCATTTCGGTCCCAGTCAGAAAAAAAACAGACCCAACAAGCAGAAGATCAGTTAAACGTCAAGAGATCGAAACACACTCCGATGTGTTCAATAATCCCTGACATACACGCACACAAACATATACGAAAGTTCATCAATTCAGCTCTGCTAATAGATTATCACCACCATAATTAATCGCACGAGTCCATGCGATGACATGCACCTAATTGGCAATGAGGGTGAAGCAATTACGTATCAAGTAAACTACGATTGAGAATTTTCGAGGCACGTCTTTCAAATTTGATCCAGAAACAGGAGCACATCTCCCACTTAAGAAACAAAATGAACTCCATGCAAAAAACACAGTTTTGCGGTGCACAATATCACAAACCTACAAGCAAACACCTAATTCAAACTTGCTGACTGGAGTATCACCAACATCATAAAATAGATTCTTCAAATCAAAAATCAAAAAAAACAATGAACAAAGAAACTTCAATTCCACAAAAACAGTCTCACGGGCCATCATCAGCCCCATGAAAAATGCGACCGCCAATTACCTTAAATTCGTGAAGAATCTGACAATTATCCTTGATACGACGAAGAACCTGGCTCCCTTGGAGCACCAATCCAATACATTCAGGAAATTTAAACTTGAACCCCTACATCAATGCACCCGATCAATGCCCAAGACAACGAGAACCCGCTACGGCAGACCCCTCCAGAGGCTCATCGAAACGCCAAACCGCGCGGAGAAGGGAAGGGAGCGGGGCATTGGCAGGTCCGCAAGCAGAGCACACTAACGAGACAGGCGAGCTGCGTAGTAATGGCTATGGCGATGGAGAGCTCAGCAATGTTGCAATGCACTCGGATTTTCTATCGATAGAATTAGGGTTTCTATGAACACTCAAGGATCGCTGACGCATTCCCGATTCCACATCCGTCCACGTCGGATAAGTTCATCCAGTCGGAGCACGTTCATCAACTTTAGGTCTTCCTCGTGGATTCTCCCCCTCCCCTCCAAGCTTCCCATGAAAGTGGCCCTGTTCACATTGCGTGTTTTTAGGGTTTTCTTTCGGACGGTTTCTGTTCACACTAGAGAAAGATATATTAGAGGACGGGGGTCAATCATCGACCCAACTTTTTATGATAGTGATGGAGTCCCTCTTGCAATATTATCGTCTATTTTTTAACATAAAATAAATAAATTGAAACTGAAAAAAACCCATTCAAATTAATGCTATATTTAATATATATATATATATATATATATATAACAAAATTCTTATTGTTTAATAATTTCAAGATCATGTTAAAATAGTATTTTGGTGTGTGTACTTACCACAAATATTTTTAAGTGCATGTGTATATGTAAGATATATTATATACATGTGTCTGTATAAAGCCATTAATATATATATTTATATTTATATTTATACCAAAATAATATTTAAATATATATATATATATATATATATAAATAAACCACAATAACACTTATATAAACAGTGACTCAAAAAACTGTTTCAATATTGATATATTTTGGAAAAAATGGTGTATTACAAATGAATTGCACTGAATAATGACATGTGGTTTGTGTCAAGGACATGAATCTTGAAAAAAGAAAATCCTCAATACGCTCTTGTATCACTGAAGGGAACTAGAAAGTTATTCAAAGATGATAAAATATTGAACTAGAATTGCTATTCCCAAAAACAAAAAGACTAGAATGTCTTGAAAGAAGACTAAAGATTAAAAAGGCATAGACAAGAGTGAAGAAGGCTTCACTCTTGCCTCTATATATACTCTTAAGTAGGAGTTCTTGAGTTTTGAAAAACTTATTTATCAAATCCAAAACCAATGCAAATTGATTCGATGAGTTTTAAATCCCTCACAAAATAAGAAAAGAGTTGACAGTGTCAAAAGGGCTTATGCTTATATTGTAGAGAAGCTGAACATACTACTCAACATTGTTTGAAGAAACAATGCAATTACAAAATGAGAAGCATGATTGCCAAAGAAGACAATGTGTCGAAAAAAGAATTGTTCTAACTACAATAGGGGCTGTGCAATTGATATTTAGCAAAGATCATATTTTCTCCTCTGAATCGTCACCTTGTTTTACAAAAGAAATCAGTTTAGGATCAAAAAATCACAAAGTCTTAGTCTTATTGGATTCATGAGCATCATCTTATTTTATTAATGAAGACTTTGTCTCACGAACATAAATATTTACTTCAATAGTTACTTATATGATTAAGTAAAAGTAGGTAAATATAGAATAATTTCATTAAGTCTTCTAAAGAAGCTTCTTAAAAGCTTTATAGATGTAGTTTTGACTGTAGATGTGTTTGTAGGTTAGAAACTTGGCCAAAGAGCTAACCATGTATTAGTAGCTTGCAAAATAAGTTATCTCCATGTATTAGCTTGTAGAACAAGTCATTTACGTGGCACATACATAGATATCTTGCCTTGTAAGATAAGACATGTGGCTAGTAAAGTCAACTTATGTTGGAGGTCCTATAGGACATCACCACGTAGCTCTTAGTTAGATAGTATATATGGAGGCAAGAGTGAAGCATTCTTCATTCTTGTCAATGCTTTTCTAGTCTTATTCTTATTTCAAGACTTTCTAGTCTTCTTGTTTTTGGCAATAGCCATTCTAGTTAATATTACATCACCTTTTGAGTCACTTTCAAGTTCTCTTCAATGATAGAAGAGTGAATTGAGGTTTCTATTTCTTCGAGATTCATGTCCTTGACAGTTTGATAAGAATGCTAACATATTGTTTCTGTCTTGTTTTAGAAGTGAGTGGATTATTCCACTTCTATTGTTGTGTTTTGAAGGTTGCGGACTACCCACCTTTAAACAAAAAATCTTGTTTTATAACACAGATATTTTTCTTAAAGAGAGTAGATTGTCCCTCTTTGTAGGATTTGTTTTTAGAGGTTGCAGATTACCCTCCTCTAATTTAACTTTTGAATTTCCTTGACTTGTCTATGGAAGAAAAGATTATGGATGCTACTCTCAACGAAAGTGAGAATAGATTTGTAACTATGGTAGATCTTCATGAGCTTGTCAATACTCTAAGAGTAGAAATCTCACGTATTTCTAACGTGAATCATGGAAGTACTATGCCTACTCCTATGGAAGCAGTTCAGAGTTTGAGACAAGAACTTGTACAATTGAAAGAAGCAAGTAGATCAATGTCACAACCAAATCTAGGGAGTTTTGCTTCTACATGCATGACAAGGACAAGGATTAGTATGCCTGAGAAGTTTGATGGAATAAGATCAAAATTTCAAAGATTTTTGTAACAAGTCAAGCTCTATCTAAGGTTGCACCCTTTCGAATATCATGATGGATTTATCCAAGTCGGATTCATAGGTGTACTACTATCAAGAAGTACCCTCTCTTGATTTACACCTTTAATGAAAAAAGATCCACAATTCTTTTATGATTTGAATTCATTCCTAGAAGTATTTACGGCCACATTTAGAGAAAGTGATCAAGAATGAATAATAGAGACCAAGCATTTATCTTTACGATAAGAATCACAATGAGCTACTATATATGCTACCAAATTCTAAAACCTCGCTTGTGACGTGGACTCGAACGACAAAGTTTTTATCAACCAATTTTGATATGGGTTGAAGGATAGCGTTAAAGATTTGTTATTACCAATGTCGAAAGTAAAATCTTTGAAATAATTTATTACTCAAGCCATTTCATGCGACAATCATTTATTTGAAAGGCATCAAGAACAAAGATTTAGTTAGAGAGGAATAAATCAAGTAATAGTAGCAACTCCTAAGTTTTCTGAAATGTATTTGTCAAATCTAGAACCAATGCAAATTAATATCATACATTTTAAACCTCTCATAAAGCAGGATCAGACTCAACATTACCTAGAGGGATTGTGTTTATATTGTGGAGAAGCGAAGCACACTGCTCAACATTGTCCAAAGAAGCAACGTAATCACAAAATGAGGAGCACAATAGCCAAAGAAGATAATGTGTCGAAAAATGAGTTTTTCTAGCTACAACAAGGATCGTGCGACTGAAATCATGTGCAACGCCTAGTAAAGGTCCTATCCTCTCCTCAGATCCTTCACCTTGTTTTATAATAGAAATATATTTAGGACCTAATAATCACAAAGTCTTTGCCTTGTTAGATTCAAGAGCCTCAGCATGTTTTATAGACAAAGATTTTGCCAAAAATCAAAAATATATTTAGTGAAGAAAGTTAAATCCGTACATATAGAAGTCATAGATAATTGTTCGTTGTCTTCTAGAAATGTTATCCATGAAACTATTCTTGTAGATGTAGCAATTAAAGATTATAACATCATAGTAATATTTAATGTAATAAAATCTCCCTCTAATCCGATTATTTTAGGATAATTATGGCTAGAAAAATATAACCCTCAAATAGATTGGATTTCTTGTAACCATAACTTTTTTGATAGTATAATCTAAGATTGCGTTATTAAAATAGAAGTATGTAAGTTCAGTAAATCCAAACCTTTACTAATAGGTGCAAAAGCTTTCATGCATGCTACAAAAGAAGAATCATCTTTTGCAATATATACTACAGCCATTTCTAATGGTGAAACAACATGGAGTGGTATTCCTAAGTAATATCAAGAATTTCAAGACGTTTTTGAAAAGAAGAATGCAGTTATTCTTCCCGAGCATCAACCTTATGATTATTCAATTGATTTACAAGAAGGAGCTCAACCACCATTTGGACCAATCTATAGCTTATTACAGAATGAATTGGCTACATTAAAAGATTACATTGATGAAAATTTGGCAAAGAGATTCATACACCATTCTAAATCTCTAGCCAAGACTCCTATCTTATTTGTGAAGAAGAAAGACGGATCTCTGCGAATGTGTGTGAATTATTGAGGACTCAACAAGATTACCATCAAAAATAGGTATCTTTTGCCTTTGATTTCTGAACTTTTTGACCAACTCAATCAAGCAAAGATCTATACCAAAATAGATCTATGAGGAACATACAACTTAGTTTGTATCAAAGAAGGAGATGAATGGAAGTTTACTTTTTGAACTAGATATGAACATTTTGAATATAATGTCATGCCTTTTGGACTCACGAATACACCGACCACTTTTCAACATCTTATGAATGATGTTTTTTGTGAGTTTTTAGATGATTTCATTGTTTGCTATTTAGACGATATTCTAATCTACTCTAAGAATAAAGAAGAATATGAACTTCATGTTTGTCATTTGTTACAAAAACTTAGAGATGCATGATTATATGCCAAGTTGAAAAAGTGTATATTCCACACTACTCAAGTTGACTTTTTAGGATACATCATTTCCAACGAAGGCCTTATAATGGATCCCAAGAAGGTTCAAACTATCATAGATTGGAAGATTCCAAGAACAGTACAAGATGTGCAATACTTTTTGGGCTTTGTTAATTATTATCGAATCTTCATTAAAAAAATTTCTCAAGTTGCAACTCTTCTTACATGTTTGACTTGTAAAGACAAACTTGAGTGGAATAAAGAAGAAAAAAAATCATTTGATGCTTTAAAAAGAAATTTAAATCTGCACCAATCTTATATTGCGCCGACTTTTTCAAGGCATTTTTTATGGAAATAGATACATCAAATTTTGCTATAGGTGTTGTGTTGTCATAAATGGGAACAGATGACAAACTCCATTCAATAGCTTTCTATTCAAGGAAATTTTCAATAGCTGATATTAATTATAAGATCCATGACTAGGAGCTCTTTGCAATTGTGGATTCATTTCAAGAATGGCATCATTTTCTAGAAGGCACCTCAACTCCAGTTACCATATATACAAACCATAAGAACCTCGAGTACTTTATGTC